GCAAATCCGAAATCAAAAGCTCACTTTGGCTTTTGGAAAACGGGGTTGGGGTGGCAGCGAAAGGGATATGGTTTGACATGCCGCAACTTGGCGGCGAAAGTACACAATAAATTTGCATGCCACATACACACACACACAGATACTCCTCACACACACACACACAGACACTCTTTTATGAATAGAAATTGTTAGCACACAATAACAGGCAGACGGAGCGTGAAACGAGTGAAAAACAGAGGCGGCGAAAAGGGACATATGCATAATGCCTAATAATCCGCATATTGTAATATCTGCATTATACGACCAGCAAGGAGCGAATGTCATTATGTGGCCAAACGATAACCACAAATAACTCTATGCCCCTTTCTCCCCTTCCTACGATACACCCACACACACACAGACAAACCCCACACTCATGCCATACAAATATTGTATAAAAATTGCGGCTTAATCACGACGCTGCAACACGAGCAATATGCAATCCTGCATCTGCAACTGAACCAAATGCCGCAAGGCAACTGCCAAAGTGCCTCAAAATCCAGTTGCTAAATGTACAGTGGGACTAAAGTTATTAAAAATAAATATTCTTATTCAATGAAAAATAAATCAGGAATGTTAAATTTACTTCAGTTTCCAATCTGGAAACTCCTTTCCATTAGTCTTTATCAAAATCGATAATATTGCAAGCTAATTTCATTCATTTCTATATCCCCAAAAACAAGTTTTCAAACTCTTACATAATTTTCATATATTTTCTGTTACAATTTTCCTTAGTTCCTGAACTACAGTGCGTAACATGCATATCAATGTGGAGCTTAAACGACGCCTGCCTGGCTGCCACTGTCTGAAAAGTGTCGCTGCCAGTAAGCCGATGCCTTTAACCCTGCGAACAGCACCGCCTCTTGCCTTAACCCTTGGCAGGAACACACACACACACACACAGACATATACAACCCGAAGTTAACCCACGATTGCCCCTTTGGCAAGGCTCCACGTGGCCGCCATCGCTGCATTATTTGTGCTCATGTGTGGCCTGCTCCGCTACCAAACCCACTGATTCCAACGGCTCCTCTGGGCACTCCCTTCTTTCTTAACCCTTAACCCATACCCTAGTCCTTAGCTGACTGGCTGGCTGGTTGGCTGGCTTTCATGCCCGCAGATTTGGGTTAAAAGTAGCTTCCCTTGTGTATTTAATAGTATTCTAGACTCGCCTTCATCTTTTGCCAGCTGCAATTGTAATGGGTGATGAAGGGGTAAGAGAAAGGGTAAAAGAAAGGGTAAAAGAAGGGGTAAGAGAAAGGGCCTCAAGAAGGCGCAAGGAACGGGTAAGGTATTGGGAACACAAAAAAAAAAAATAAGCGATGTCGTTTACAATTTCTTCATATTTTTTTTCTTTTCCTTTCCTGCCTTTCCATCTTGGCATGCATTCAGTGGCAAAAGGATGCTGAAGTCAAAGAATTTCCTACAGCATCCAGATACTTTTGTATGCAAATTTCTCAGTTTTCGACTTCGGGCCGAGTTTTGAATTTCTATTTGAGTTATGTTGGCACAATCTACATACACATATGCATATGCAATACACTGCCATTCAAATACCTCTCTCACATTCACATACTCACATTCTCTTTGGCATTCCCCTCATGCGAGGTAATGGAATTGCAAACCTTCTCGGTTATTTATTTATTTAATCTGTTAAGACTTTAATGGCCCAGCAAATGCAATTACAATGCCAAACAAAATGGAAGTGGCAAAAAGTGTTTTTTTTTTCTTGTTTCGTGAAAATTTTGTAATACTAAATGGTAGAAGAAGAAGAACAACAACAACAAGGGAAACGGAAAAAAAGTTGAGGTTATTAATTAAGTGGCATTAACTGGCATTACAGGCCAAAGAAAAGCCTGAGAACCATTTTCAAAATCATTAGCAGCAGCACCATCAGCTATACAAATTTTCCTCTATATACAAAGTATTCTTGGAAAAACAAAGACCTTACAATAGTTAAATAAACTTTCGAATTAATTGCATTACCATTAGAGGAAATAGAAATAACAAAATGGAAAATGTCTTGTGAAAAGGTAAAGGAAACCAACAAAGAGGAGATTTTCTGGGGGAAAACAAAACACAATACCATTGCACCTGCAACAATCTCTCGAAACAAAACAACAAACATCGAAGGTTATATCCTTCGATATAATGGCCAAACGAGCTGCAATTAAAACTAAGTGAAACAGGCAGGAAAACAACAGCAATCACATGTCATTAGACTTAATTGATCAGCAACAGGCAATCGGAAATCGTCTATCGGCAATCAGTGATTGTTTTTTTTTCTATCTATCTATCTATTCTATCTATGTATCTATCCTATCTATGTATCTATCCTATCTTTGTATCTATCCTATCTCTGCATCTATCTATCTCTGCATCTATCTCTAACCGCAGAAGCCCAGGATATAAAAATATTTTGAGTTTAATTTGAAATTGTCATGGCAGCCCCAAAAAACAAGTCGCAAGTCGCAAATGAAATTGAACACTTCAGTGTTGCCTTTTTTTTTTTTTTGGGAAGGTGGAAAGGTGGAAATCCCTTTTCCCAAATAGAAGGCTGCCTTTGCTGGCAAAAGCAATTTGCAGTTAATTAGCAGACTAAGAGCCACAAAAGGCATCTAAAACGGTTTGAAAGTGGCAACTTGCCCGGCAAACAAAGATGAAATTCTTCCCCCTCTCTGTTTTTTGCCCAAAACTGGAAATTTTGTGAAAAGCCCTTTTGGCCGATTGCGTTTTACAAAAGACAAAATGCAGGAAACCAAAAACATGGCATTAATTTCAACCGATTTCCTTCCAAACATTCAATTACAATTTACGTTGGGAAAATTTTCCAGGGGCTAACTGGCTAACATACACACAGTACTCGCTCATAGATAGATGTATAAACTGGTACATAGATAGATAGTAGCCAGTTTTGTGTGGAAATAATATCAAATTTGTCTGATGGTGAGTGATGGAAATGCATTTTACAGGGCCCGTAATGAGCCCAATGGCTGAATGCAGCCTCCAAATTGACCCCTGAAGCATATGAAGCGGAAAAAACAGACTCGCACACACATCGTCCAGTAAATTATAATTGATGTTGCACTGCAAGAAAATATATACCAAAATGAGATCAAAATCAAAAATCTAAACTAACTAGCTATGATAAGTTCTAAGAACTTCTTTATAAGATTTATTTTTTGAACTTTTATCAAGATTTTCTAACATAAAGTTAAGTTAGAAACTTAAAACAATTTCTCTCAGTGCATATATGTTAGACGATCTGAACAGGCGGTTGGAGAATTTACAAGCATATTGATTCGTTCTGATTCGGTTGCAAATTTTCACCCCTCCCAACCCATGACAGCCACCTCTACCCATTTCTCTCAGTGTGTGAACAGTGTCAGCTGCTTTTAGCCAGCTGGCCCTGCTGGGTAGCCGTTATTTAACATTAATTTATGCATTACTAGAGCGCTTAAATTAATCAGCGAATGGCAGGCAAACTGGCTGACAAAAGGGGATAGGCCGGCCAACGCAGGCCGAAAAACAAAATTTAATTCGCTACCCGAAAAAAAACATCGAGAAACCCAAAAACACCCGAAAATGAAGTGCAATTAAAACTGTGGCAGCAAGGAAAGAGAAAAAAGAAAACAATTATTATTAAAAGCTTAAAAAGAATTAAGGCAACTAAGACCGAGACAAAGCAAGTGCTAAGATGCGGCCATAAAACGGATAATGTTTTTTTTATCTGGCCAAGAAAAACCACACAAAAAAAAACAAGAGGAAACGCTATAGTCGAGTGTCGCGACTATAAGATACCCGTTACTGTTTTACACAATTTTAAAATATTAATTTTGCTAGTGGAAATTCACAAGGCGCCACCTATTGTCAGAGGAAGTATGTTGAGTATGCTTATAGTGACGTCACTGCCCATGTGGAGCCTTATAACCTTAATTTCTTCATAAATAGCGAAATAATGTTCCGATTTGAAAAATCTCTTGTAAATCGATAGATATTAACAGAAATAAGTTACACAAGGTCAAACGAAGGAATTCATAATAATATTATAGACTCCACAGTTTTCCGCGAGTTGTGGGCGTTAGAGTGGGCGTGGCCGGATGCAACTTTGTGGCAAGTTGCAGAGGCATCTCCTAAATACGTGTTTCTAAGCAAAATTGTGTAGCTTTTATAGTTTTCGAAATTTTTGCATTTTCGGTTTTTCGGGTTTTGTGGGCGTTAGAGTGGGCGTGGCGTGATCGGAAAAAAAACAATTCGCATTGGGAGCATCATAGAAACATACATGCTTGATCCGAACTTTCTATCTCTTATAGTTACCGAGATATCAGCTTTTCTAGAAAATCCGAAAACCGTCTTTTGAGCCTTGTGGGCGTATGGGTGGGTGTGGCTGCATAGTAGAACCACTATAAGATGCGCTAGCATCTAAAGATTATACTTTTTGAATTTCAACTTTCTAGCTCCAATAGTTCCTGAGATGTCAGCAGTTTTAGTTTTTTGCGATTTTTGGGCGTTATAGTGGGCGTGGCAGGATGCTGTAATAAACTTGCGCTGTCCCGGGACCTCAAGAATCTTCATGCTTAATCTCAGCTTTGTATCTGCTATAGTTCCTAAGATCTCAGCGTTCATACGGACGGACGGACGGACGGACGGACGGACGGACGGACGGACGGACGGACAGACGGACATGGCTCAATCGACTTCGCTATTGATTCTGATCAAGAATATATATACTTTATAGGGTCGCAAAAGCTTCCTTCTATCTGTTACATACTTTTCAACGAATCTAGTATACCCTTTTACTCTACGAGTAACGGGTATAAAAACAAAAAACAAAAGAAATCTGGAAATGGTACTTGGATTTTAACGGTCCTCTGTCCTCTGATTGCTTGTCTTTTTCTTTGGCCTAAACCCACACTTTTTATACATTTTACTAAGCAGTATTTAACGATTTATCTTTGCAGAACATTAACTTAAACTTCGATCTGCTGAAAGTAACGTTTTTTTTTAGTCGACTCACTTTGGGTAAGTAAGAGTTATTATTTCCTTTTACTTATTTTTAAGGTTAAGTTCCCTCAATGAAAGACCCCATCACCTGACCCACTTCTGGGGGGGTGGTTTTCTTCTCAGAAATAGTTGATGCCCTCCCCCCTTTCCTTGCCTTGCCACTCCACTTCACTTACTTATTTTGCAGAGAGTTCATAACGCCAATTTTGGTTTGCCTTTCACCCTCTTCCAACTGTCAGTTACTCAGTCATTCAGTCAGTCAGTAAGTCAGTCAGTCATTCAGTCAGTTGGCCAGTAAACTGAGCTCAGCTCTGGCGAATGATAAATGGCTGACATTGTGGATTGTAGGCAACATTAAGCGTCGTTGAAGCACCGCAGATTGCAATCGTTGCGAATCCCCCTCTATAGAGAGCCACGCCACGCCTTCTAATCCCCAGGCCTAGCGCCCACATGGCCAACACCCAACACTGCAAAAGCTTGTTACCTGGCCTGTTATTTTTTATACCCTGTTCTTGTGGTCTTGGATAAATCTTAAATAGGTTTATTATTATAAAATAAGTCATGATTTTTTTATATTTTAATTCTAATTTTAAATAAATTTATGAAAGAAAAGAAAAGAAATCATAAATATATTAAGCCTCCAACTTTCGCTTGCGCCCTAAACTTGATTCCCCGAAGTCTTCCATGTTGCTTTCTTCAACTGTAGCCCAACCTCTGAGTTCTGACCCCTCACCCCTGAACCGTTTGCTCCACGACTCTCACCCTCTCTCTCTCTCCCTCTTTCTCCCTGACAGCCATCAGCTTGTAATTTGTAATGTCGAAAGTGCCAGATTGTTGTTGTTTGGCCGTTTCATGATTTTCAAATGAAATGCATTTCTGAACTTTTGCGGTGATTTAATGATGTGCCCCGGGAAAGTGGCTCCTGACTGGTGGGCACTTGAGAATATGATTCATTTGAGTCAGCCGAGTCAAGTTACGAGTCATAAGTGTATATCCACCAACTAAATGGGACTCAAAGTCCTTAATTAAACGCAGCTTGAATTGATTTGAAAACCCAAAACCGATATTGCTAGCAGCAACCATTGAATTTGCGGTTCTAATTAGCTTCAATTAAGTGATTAAAAGCCATCAACCTCGATGGGCGAAATGGGACTATGAGTGGTGGGGGGGAGGGGGGAAAAAACATAGATAGATAGATAGATCTCCCCGGTTACCATAATTCAGGCATCACAGCCATTTCTGGTTGGCCTTTTTTTTCCCCGTGTTTGCTTTTTATTGCTCTGGCATAATAAATGCCAATTAATTATGACAACAACAGTTACAGAATAAAGGCAGGGAAATTGTGACAGATAAATCTGTAAATTGTCATGTGCCAAACATGCACTATATATATATATATATATATATATATATATATATATATCTTTCTGGAATGAATAAGTTTATGGAAATGCCAGCAGCAACAATATTGCGTTGACTTTTTAATTAAAAACAATAAAATTGTTTGTCGTATTATATTGATTGGTTAGTGAAATAAATCATCGAAAAGTCCGAGAGTTTCTCCTCCGCCATCCCCCTTTCTTTCTACGGTGTTTATCAATTCCGGACAAATGGCTATGGTCAAAGCCAACGTAAGTCCGATTATCGGTACAGTTCAGTGCATGGTATATATATACTATATATTCCGCTATAATGGCCATGGTCGTTTTTCGAGAGGATTTCGGGCTTATCCCACGATTGATGGACTGCCAATAGTTTGGCAAATATTTTGGCAATTTGATTTCGGTTTTTGCATATTTTTAAGCTGCGAGGTGAACTTTAAGGGTAATGGTTTTTCGAATGTTAGTTTAAGTTTTAACTTTAAAGAAAGTCATAGCTAGTAAAAAGCTTATTTAATCAGTAATTTAATTTAGCTACCACTAACTGAAAATCGTATTGGTAAAGCTACAGTTTGGCCTTTTCAAAAAAGTTAAACCTAATTTAGGGATTTTAGTATCAACTGTCACTACCCTTTTTTTTTGCCATCTGTTGCTGACACACACCACATTTGCAACTTTACAGGCGCAACGAGCGAGAGAAAGAGCTATTCAAATATTACTCATACGCCATGTTGTACGTTTGTTGAATGAACAAAAAAAAACCCAATGGCCAGTTATTAGCTAACCAGTCCAGTCCAGTCCAGTTCAGTTCAGTTCAGTTCGATTTTGGTTTTGGTTTCGGTTTCAGTTCAGTTACACAAACTGGCCAACAAACAAATGACCGTTTTATGGCCAGCAATCAAACACAAGACCACAAATACTTAAACTTATGGATGTCTGTGTATATGCCAGTAGCCAGATACCGCCGCCATATGTATATATATATATCTATATATTGGATGCCAGCCATCATCATCATCATGGCTTGGCAGAAGTTCCAATTTTTCACACAACTCGACCGCAAAATATATAAAAAACACATTCTTATTACAAATCGTGGCTAGAGTGGTGTGCCAAAATGAAAAACAAAACGGAAAAAGGGGAAAAAAAAGGAAAAAGTATGTTTTCATTCCCATAAGTGAAAAGAGGCCGAGGAGCTGCAAAAGAGAAAACCCACTCTGACGCACTTATTTTGCGCTTTGAATCCAATCACGTACCAATTTTCCAAATTTAACCTTTTTGAGCTCTCGAGGCTGTAGAGGTTGGAGGTTGAATGCTGGTGGCTGGTGGCTGGTGGCTGGAAGGGGGTCAGTTTGCTGGCTGCCAATAAAAACCATTTGCCAGAGTGAAATTTATATGGCCGCGTCGATACGGGAAAGAAAAACGTGTTTGAGAAGAGTGCAAGAAGCGAAAAGGAAGTGGATAAAGAGGAGTATGAAGAAGAGTATGGGCTAAAGACCGCAGGCCGAACGCCCTTTTGAACCGTTTCAATTGACCAAAGGCCAGGACTCTTCCTTTAAGCCACCAATTCCCAAATAATATGTACCTTGTTCCCATACACTATCACCCCCCTTGGACTACCCCTCTCTTAACCTGTTCCAAAACTTCACAGTCAGCTGAAATTTTTCTACTGGTTATGAGTTCGTGACACGATAGGGAAAGATAATCCTGGCAAAGGTTATAAACTGTGTATAAGTCGAAGACCTTTAATTGAAATGGAAAATTATGCTAAAAACTTAGGTTTTTCTTTTAAGAAAAACCAAGAAAAGCTTCTCTTTTTGTACATTAGCCTAGAAAATCGTTTTTCTTCACTTTCTTTCTTGGTTCTTTGGTAAAAGTTCTTAGATCTTCCAAATCCCTTATCTTATCTTTCTCTCTTTCAGTTGACATTTATTAATAAAACATATATAAAATGATTAAATTATAAACATGTTAAAATTTTCATTCAATATAGAATCTCTCATCTACCCACTGCTCATCTCTGGTACTCTGTACTTTACTTGGCTTCGTTTACCATATTCAGTCGATTTCCATATTAATTTCGTAGTCTGCGTAATTTGAGCCATTCTATCCACCTCACTCTCATCTGCCAGCTCTGCAGTCGACTTTGCATACTACACAGAGAGAAATTTGTTATAGAACTTAGATCTATCATAAAGAGAATGTGACTTTCATGTATTGAACTTAAACTTAAATCCATAAAAACTTAAGAACTTAAGAAAAAACAACTTCTAAAAGCCAACAAATTCTTATAATGGAAACTTCTACAACATATTTATTTCTATTTTCTCTCCGTGTACTACTTATGCTCTTTTCGATTCTCGGTATCTGTTTGCGCTGGGCTCCCATTTCGCCTGTAAGCGACACCATAAAATACTGAACGTGTTGAGCACTGGCACATACACACACACACGCACACACACAACTGCACTGCACTGTACTTGTGTACACAGATATGAGAAAAAAGTGGCGAGGAAAAGTCATCAGGGCTGAAGGGGAAAAACTTACTGACCTCGCCAATATAATACCAATACCAGCCACCAACCCATCGATGCCTTCGATTCTCGAGCTTTGACTGTTTCGCTGTTGGGCTTGAAGAGCCAGCCGCCTTGTTGTTTTATTTTTACGCGGTACCACTTTTGGCTTTTGTTGCCAACATCCTGTCTGACCCTGCCACGCCAACTGTCCTGCCCCCTGACCCCTACCCTCTGTTCCTCCATAACCGAACTCAACTTTGACCGCCCCCCGTCGACCCCGTTGCGAGTGACGCTTCATTTTCTTTATTTCAGCTGGCAGCACGCACATTACATTACATTACAACATGGCCGGGGAATGGGTCCCCGGGTCTGGGTCCGCAGCCAGAGTCCATGTCCGTATCCTTATCCCTGTCCGTCTCCACGTTCATGTCGTGGAAAATGAGCTGGAAAGGGACAGACACAGGAGGACAACATCGCTTTTCCGACTCGCATTTCGGCCATTTGTTGTTTGCCCATTTCTATCTTCGAGTGCGAGTGTGAGTGTCAAGTGAGTGTTTGAGTGCTCGGCTTATTCATGGCCAGTGGATTCGAGTGGAATGAATGAATGCTGGGCTGGTGGACAGTGGCTCCTCCAAAGCTCAATGCCCACTAAGTAATTGTCCAACGTGAGCTTATGGACCAGAGAAAACAGGCATTTCGACAACCTCCAAAAGTATTTCAACCCATTCAAGGGAAAAAGTTTATAAAAATATTTGTAAATTTGCAAGGAAAACAAGGAAAATGGATGTTATGAGAGATAGATAGATAGATTTTCCAATAAGGTTAAGGTTTTCCTTTAAAGGTTAATAACTCGTAACATTCGTTTAAAATACATGTCGCTCTTTACTTTTGCGCCACAGAAAAAAAGAAATTACCTTTTTTTTTTTTAAAGGCTTTCCTTAACTCAGATTCCCACGCTGTGGTTTTCTTTTCTTTTCCTTATCCAAGGATTTTTTCCAACAGCAGCAGCAGAAGCAGCAGCTTCTTCTTCTTTTACGTTTTCCCTCGATTTTTCAATACAAATTGATGCCATCTGTTCGACGTTTAATGCCTCGGGGTTTTGGCCTGCTCCCGGGCCATTTGTCGTGCAACACTTTCAGCGCTTTTTAATGCAGTGGCTGCATAATTTTAACGCTCGTAAGTCGCCTGCATTATCCGGGCCATAAATCGGACACGACTTGCGCCTTATACTTTCTTTCCAATGGTCACGCCCACTTTTCGCATTCCCATTGTGTTCGTCGCCTTTGGGTTTCCCTTTTTTTCCCTCCTTGCTGGTAGATGCTGTGAAGCAGTTAATTTTGGCCACTGGGCAGCTCAATTTTCACACGATTGGCCTGGACTTACAGCCATATATAAAACCATATCCTTTTAGCCACAAATATATATATATATATATATATATATACCTACCTGGCAACACACTCAGCTGACCCGAAAGCCACTTAAGAGCCATTCAAATTACGTTTCATTACGCTTATTGACGGGGGGGTGGGGCAGTAACAAACCTTTTTTATGGCCAGCAGGTGATATCAAAAAGGAAAGCGGATTCGTACTGGGAATACTTCGCAGTTCACATCGATGGGTATTCAGATGTACTCCAAGTTAAAGAAATATTTTCAAGGAAAAACAAATTTTCCAAAACCATAATCTGTATTATAATTTTTTATATAATAATGGGTAGCATGGGTAACCCCCAAGTCGATCAGCAAAAATTCAATGTCTTCAAACTTTGTGCCTTTGTTTTATGGCCAACGAACTTTTGAATTCAATTTGTTTTTGGCCAGCCAAAAGTTATTGATTTAATTCGTATCTGGGGAATGCTTAATCAAAAATACTCGGATATATGACGGGCAGTGCCACCCTACTTTTTCCGACACTTTTCCAACGAAAAATTTGAGGCAAAAGTTTCTTGGTCATGTGTGCGTGCGTGTGTATGTGTCTGCTGCTTGCTGGCTCGTTAGCTCAAAATTCCGTGGAGATAGTTTCCCAGCTTTCCTTGTTTTTCTCATCGATTTTCAGATCTCATATTAATTTTCCACCAACCATGTAGCTCGAGTTAAAGCTGTCAGTCGTACAGCGATTTCAACGTAACTCACTTTAGTCACAACATTCAGTTTTATTTTGAAAGTCAAAAGATCAAAACATTTTTTGTCCTAACTCTCTCGTTTGGATATTTTTGGTTAAATATTTTCTAACAGCAAATAGTTAATGTCTTTTTTGTAAAAATGAATAAAAGTCTGTTGAATAGCGAATCATCATCATCATCATCGTGGCTGTACGAAAAAGAAACCTCTGAGGATGAAGATAATGAACTTGAACGACTTTTGGGACAATTATCGCGAGTTCCGGGCAAATGTCCGGTGAGCGGTTGTGAACAAGTGGTTTTTCCCTCTGGTCTATTGTCTCATCTAATGCATAAACATAGCCGAGAACCCCAAATAACCGTCTTTGTTATCTTCGATGATCAACCCTATCGGACGAGAATTAACCCGGAAACTTTTCCACTTGGAATTCCAAAGGCCATTGCCATCATTTTATATGGTGGAACTGATGGCAAGCCTGAAACTCAACCTGGTCGCCGGCACTTGAGCTTTGTCAATTATGGATTATTAAACGATTGTAGTCAGTATGATCATCATTTGCCAATGATCCTTATGATTTACAAGACCACCTGGTGTACCTTTATGAATGACAAGGTTGCCGCCTCCGAAATTGAGCAGCAATTTTGCGACAAAGAAGATAATATCTATGTACTATGGGTAGTGGCTCCGAATACAGCTCATCGTATGTGCTATAGCCTAACACTTTTCGATAGTGACTATATACAATCACGTTCGGTTTTGCGAAATGCAAGAAACTATGTTTACTCACAAGAGCCAGATGACTTTTTGGATATTGATACGGATTACATGGTACTACGTTATATAGACGCAAAGGAACTTATGAATGAGTCAAAAGAGACAAAACTAGGTCTTAATCTGCAGTTGATGGTATATGAAGATACCGAGGGTGTCTTAATTGAACATAACTCTAAACATTTATTAAGTACCTACACTGGACCCGGTTGCAAAATGCCACGTACTAAGATGAATCTAAATCGAAATTCACATGGAAAACTTTCCCTTAACCGAACCCCCACCTCAAACCCATCGATATATACCGATGAAGCGGTAGGGGGTTCTTTCCATTCTACCAATGGGCCTTCCAAAGAATGCATAAAGTCCAGCTCGCGAGAGACTTACGTTCCGCCTGAGTCGGATAAGGAAGAAACCCATTCCGAAATCGAAGATATGATCATCAACGCAGCTCTAATGAAAACGCTAAACAGTAAACCAGCAGAATACAATGAAAGCGATGAAAACGAGCTGGAAGATTCAAAATCCAAAAGATACAAGCAATCTGCCCGAAAACAGAAACAGAAAGAACATGAAAAATCTGTAACTAAAAAAACAAAAGCATCGCTGAGGAAAGTCGATTCAAAAAAGCTATTGGAAACTATAAAATTGTATCTGGAAGAAATGGACGAAGACAGTTCTTCTGAAACTGACCTTGAAAAATCTCTTCAAGAATTTTCCGATGACACGTTAGAAGAATCCTTGGTAGACAATGATGTGGATCAAGAAATACTTGTTAGGTTGGAAAAAATAAGAGATGAGTGTTATGAAAAACTTCGAAGGAGAACTAGATCCATGTCCTCTGAAAAACCCTCTGGATCAGGGAAGAGTTCGAAAGTGTTAGGTTCAAGATTGAAAGCAAAAGTTGAAACAATACTGGAAAGCAAACCAAAAAAGCCAGCAAAAACGCATGACAAAACTAAAAGGAAAACCATAGCGAAAATACTACATATGGCAAACACCATAATTGACGAATCTGAAACCGATAGTGAATCTTAATAACAATCTTAAGAGGTAATTTACAAAATCTTAAGTTACATTCATGGCCAATCTAACTATAAAATTTCAATGTTAATTCTTGAATTCTGTAAAATAAATGACCCAAATTCAGGTTAACGAATACCGAATATGATTTTATGAGGACACAGAAAATGCTTTTGTTGTTCTCATTCTCGATTCTCATTCAGCATTATTTAAATTCCAGTTTCGTTTCACAGTAGTAGTTGCCCACATAAAAATGGTCAAATCCTGTGGCGAGTCTGTGTGTGCGATAAAGTGGGTGTGTTTGGCCAGAGGGCAAAAAAAGAGCAAAAGCAACCCAAAACCATTGCGGTTGTCGTCGCACGTTGCACTTAGCTGGAGATTTCATGCCATTTCGGTTTATTTAAAACATAAAGATTTGAATTTAAAAAGCTTCCAAATACAGATGGGCAAGGATAACAGGTAAACTTCCATACAAAAGGCTCTTAAATAATGCACACAGGCAGGCTAGCATTTACTTAAGATTCAGTAGAAACACAACTTTTGAGAATATTTATTATTATTTACAATATATGTAGCAGCAAGAGTTCTTTAATCCGATCAACAAGTTTTATATAGATTACTTAAAAAAAACTCTAAGGAAATTTTATGTTTCCAAATTAAGGTGTTTAAACGAGTTTTGCAGTAGGAAAAATGCATAACAGAAAATAAAAAAAAGATAAAAAGTACAGCACCGCCAAACTGCAGGCTATTTCTGTCAAACTGACAGCTGGCTGAAAAGAGAGCACGATAGCCGCTAAGAACGAGACGGCCGATATGGCGAGGTGAGAAAATCAGTGAATGAATCTCATCCAAGAGTTTTTCGCACTTGAAAGCGGCCGGCAAACAAAACAAGGACGCCAGGAAATGGGCGGAAAAGGGTCAAAAAAGGGGGGGTCCGCGCCTGTCCAGAGTTGCCTGCAACTGAAATGCTCGGCAAACAATGCAAAAAAAAAATATTAAAAAAAAAAACAAGAATATATATAAAACTGGCAAAAAAAGAAATGTAGAACCGGACTCGGAAAGGTGAAAAATAAGAATGGCCGGCAACACAAATAAAATGCGAAAATGCTGGGCGACAAGAACAACAAAGACAACAACAACAGCAACAACAACAACAACAACAATAACAACAACAACAACAATAACAAAAGCATTAAGAAAAATACAACATCAACGTTGGAAATCTTCTGCTCTGCGGCAATGGAAAACTTTTGAATAATTTATCTCGCGTTGAAAGGACGTTTTCATTAAAATTCGCCAACGTATTTAAAGTGCGAGATAACTCCCAGAGTGGCGATTATTCAAGTGAGTTCATTTGCCTGCTAGGAATGCTAAATGCGAGGGTAACTACCCTTCGAATAAGGGGCATATTGATTTTGTAGACAAAACTAAAGATCGTATAAGAATGGAAGTCACTTTGTATTTATGTTTTATGCTTATTGAAATTGAATACTATCTACTTCTTCTCTAGAAAACTATATCTGAAACGAAACCATATCTGAAAGCTATAATAGGAAGCTTCTATGAGAGCTTCTAATGAGTAATGAAGAGGTTTCTGTAAGTTCTATAGTTAAATAATGCACTTCTGTTAGTTTGGCATTGATTGGTTTCCCCATTAAAGGGGATATATTTCAGTTTTTTAAGTTTAGGTTTATATTTTCATCGATCCTCCCAATTATTTTAAATTACTTCGAACTATTGGTTTTTCAAGAAAGAAATAGAAAGAGTCCAATTTAATAATACTAAGTTATGGCTAGCTTTTAACATACATAGCTTTGGTGGGGTTACCTATGTTTTACCTATGGCAAAGTGCGGCCTCAGAGACTCAAAGATCTTTCTAGGAAATAATATCTTAACTTTCTTTAAGTTAAACCTAGCAAGGCTTAAAAAATACATTAATATTTAATGAAAATCATTAATAAAATTGTATAAAACATAAGATATAACATTTTTCCTAGTTATAAACCTTCTCCCTTTCCCTTTTAACCACTAAATTTCCATCCAATGAAAAAAAACAGAACAAAGTTGTTGCCAAAATGCAAAGGGCGAACAGTAGGAAAACAAATGAAAAGCAAGAGTTTTTCATTGGAAAATTGTTTTACATTTCAATTTAATTCCATTTTTTCTGTGTCTGCCCCACACCCCCTTGCACCTGTTTTTGCCAAAGCCTGGGAATATGGTTTTCCTGTAATTTTGATACTCTGTGTGTTATTTTAATGCGCTTTCCCTGTTCGCCCATCCAACTTTTTGGATAAATGCTAGTTGTGTGTTTTATGTTTTCCCTTGTTTTTCACTTTTTTTTAGTAAAAATACAATTTATTGAGTCTGCCCAAAATGAAATAATAATAATGTAATTTTCGAGTCTGAATAGGTTGATAAAGGGCAATAATTTAGGATTTTTTTAAATTTTAAAAAGTGAATAAAATACCCTTTTACCCAATTAATACTCTTTTAATCTTTCTACATTAAACCAATATTTTCTATTATATTTTCACTCTATAGAATGCCCTGCACTTTGCTTTATCTTTGGCTAGAAAAATGCTTTCCTTTGTTTTTTAGTTACTTCCCCTTTCTGGCTTTATGGCTTTTCTCTCTTAGTTGCCTTTGCCAAAAATTAGCCATCTAAATCATGTCCAGCGTTTCCCCTGGCCATTTCAATTCCCAGCTCTTCGCTCTTCGGTATCTGCCGTATTTGTCAAGAGTGGAATCAACATAACATAAATTCAATGTCCGAAACAGAAAACACAGCAAGAAATTAACTAAAATAAGGGCGATACTAACTAAAATAGCAATCCTTAGGCAACTAAAGAAAGTTTTAAGAATATTAAAACTAATTTTGTTAATCCTTATTTAAGGTTTTTTGGTTGGAAAATAAAAATCTTCTAAAAAATATCATAAATGTCTAACATTTTTGTCCAATGTATAAAAAGAAAATGTAAAACCCTTTTCTCCACAAATCTTAGCTCCCTTGTTCCGCTTTGTTTTTTGATATTTTTATTTTACATTTTCTTTTTTTTTTTTTAAAAACTGAAATATGGCGCATTTGCTGCTGAATATCTCGCGTAAATATCGCCACATCCCACATACACATACATAGCTGCTATGTGTTTATTCAGGAAAAATGGTGGGCGGCAATGGTGGAAAGATGCTGGTAAAATGGGGCGGACCCGCGCGTATTACCGTTGCACTGGGGCTGGCAATTTTCTTGCGGGTCCCCACCACCGCACCGCATAACATCGCATCGCCCTGCCATTTCCATTTTATTTTGCTTCTGGGCAGCGTCGTTTCATCGCGCAATTTCCGCACAAGTGTTGGCAATATAAAAATAGCGACAAAATATAAAAGTAATTTATGTTCGCCTTTTTCCATATCATTTCTATATGCATGAGTTCGGCGGTACTCACTTTACTTGGGTAGTTTATATAAAAAAAAAAATAATAAAAAAAATAAAAGGAAAGTGTAAAAAAAAATAACAACAACAACTCACCGCCCCCCCCCTTTCCCGTTTGCCCGCTGCCTTTTTGTGTGTTCGTTGTTGTGATATATGAAATATGCATGTTGATGCGCTCGTTTGTATGCGCCAAACTGCATTTAATTTATTAAAATAAATATTTTGCAGTGTTGGATAACGGTGTCTGAGTTATGTCAACGAAGATAAAGCACTCCCTGGCTATATGTATATACCATATAGCCGAGTTCTGTACTTAATCCGTAATTGATGGCATTCTTTGAGCTTTGGCTTTCAATCCAATAAAAAGAAATTTCTCTTTAGACTAAAGAAACTCCATTTTAAAGTAAAATTTTCTAGTGTTTAGATATTTTCCCTTTGTTGAAGTTGATTAACTAACAATGGCAGTGAAAATTGTATTAGCAATGATTATCATAACGATGATAATGAAAATGATAAAACACCATTCATAATTGATGACAATCTATGGTCGTTGCTTTCAATTTGATTAACCAATTGCCGCGTTGAAATTTACATGAAGCGAAACCGAAATTAAATATGTTTAGTCCGAAATCACATTTCATTATAGTGCGGCGATTGCATAATAATGTGGTCAGCCGCAAATAGCAGCCATTATCCGAGTCAGCCGTGCCGTGTAACCACCTCTCACATATCTATCTATCTATCTATCTATGAAATCACCCACCCAACCACCCACCCACACACATGCTTTTTGTTGCTGTCAAATCGCATTGCAAAAGACTAAAATACTCATGAATATATCAGCATGAGCATTTATTAGATTCATTTGACAGGATGTGGCAGGTTGGGATCTTTGTTAGTGAAATCTAAAAGCAAATATAAATCCATATATATAATATATATTTACCTGGACAGATGTATTTGTGTAATCGATTTCTAGTTTTTTTTTCATAGCTAAATGCCAGAATGTCATCGAATAAAACCGAAACTATATGGTCAGCATATTAAATATTCCTTTTTTTCCCACTCAAAACTACAAACAATCAGCCACTTTCCACATACCCAAATATTAATTCCTTGACCAGATTGAGGGAAAATAATTAGGTTGTCCCTTTGGACTTTGTTCAAATATTTCCATGCCAGATTGTCAACTTAAATTATACACAATTTGTGCTATCAAATGGCCCAACGGCATATTTTTTTTTTATTTTTATTATTGTTAGTCATCAAGAATGCAGACAGAGAGAAAGAGAGACAATTATAGGGGGGATAAAAAAGGGACAGAGAGCGTAGAAGCAATTCACAAAGTTAACAAATAAAATTATGCAAACGTCAACGACAACAAAAAAAAATTCAAATAAAAATAAAATCAAGAAAGAAAAAAAACAGGAAAATAAGCAAAAAAAAAAGAGAGCACAAACAAATTTGCACGACAAGCGAAGGGAAAATAAAATCTGACTCTGTAATATGCCAAAACTGTGTTCATAGTGTAAAAATGTCTATTTACATAGTCATGCATCATGCAGCCAGAAAGAGACCGCCTATACATATATATGGGATCAGAAAGAGAGGTGCATAGGACAGGGACAGGTACAAATGCTTGGGCAAAGAAATGAACAGAAAGTTAAAAAAAAAATTTTAAATATCTATATGGAAAAGTTCATAAATTTTCAAACACCACGCGAACTGGGAAAACCGG